CCGCCGCCGCCACCGCCACCACCAGCACCACCACCAACGACAAGAGCAACAACAACAAGCAGCAGCAACAGCAGCAACAGCAACAGCAACAGCAGCAACAACAGCAATAACATCAATAGCGGAGACAATAGCAAGCAGCAACAACAACAACAACAACAACGACAACGACGACGACAACGACAACGACAACGACAACGACGACGACGGCAGCAACAACAGGATCAGTAACAGCAGAAGAAGACGAACCAGGAGGAAGCAGAATCTACATAGTTGTTCATGCATCATCGTGAGTCATAGTGCCATAGAGTGGGGAGAGACACTCTCTTAAGTACCCTGCCTGGCGCAGGCGGGCGGCCGCGGCTGCAGCTTGGAGGCGGCCGTTGGCCGCAAGCGGCGGGTCCCAGGGGCGCGTTGCGGTGGCAATCCAATCCGCACCCTTCCCTGCCTGGAACCATGGTATTGAGGGAAGGCTATGACTACGAAGTCGAAGTGTGCTTGGGGTCAAGTCATTCAGATCTGCAACTTTCCTATGCATTCAAGAGCAGGCCAGGGTGCTGTAGTGCTTGAAGGCACAATCTTACAAACCAGCTCGGGGAGCCTTCTCGGCCATGTAGTCCTCACGTTCCCCATGCCGCAACAGCACGATGCACGAGGCTCTGGAAAAACTTTTCGGCTGCAGGCCGGCGAAACACCAGGTCGACCAAGAAAGGCACATCAGGCCACTCAGGCACCTACACCTGCACATGCACGTCGTTTCCTGAGCCTTCTAATGAACATGCTGAATGCCATCGGGAATGTGCAGTTCGTAGTGGCTGCCTGCAAAATGGCAAGCGGCATGCCTTGTAGGATCCAGACGGACTCCAGCAACCCCTTTGTTTCTCGAGCTGTTGCTAGTTACACCTGAAGTTAGCCACGGATTGAAGATTGGGTGGCCCAATCTGAGCTTCCAATCTAAAAGCTAGCTGCTAGCATGTTGCAAACGGGATCTTGAGCCAGCACGGGGCCCAATGACACTTGCAGGCTTCTGCGACAACACAGCACCGCCTTGAATCACCATTGAATCCCAGGCCACGCGAACAGCAATGAACGCAGATCACGCACTGGCCATCTTAATCCCCGCCGGGCTCTGCATGTCTGCTGTTGGACAAGCCTTCCTCTGGACCTCAGTCACCGAAATTCCGCATTTTCAGAGGGCGGCTCAGGAGCCATGGCAGCAGATCTGGGTTTTACACTCTCACAACTCGGACAATCCAGGCGAGGTCTCAGGCGAAGTGAAAGCAGTAAGCCTCCCTCCGCCAGGGTTTAGGCTTCAGGTTTCTTCTGACGGGAGCATCTGGCAAATAAGTGCCGGACTGCCTCCGACACGAATCCATTCCTCGCCGTCATCCCATTTCATTCGGGCGGGCGGGCCCCAATCAATGACGGCCTGGGCCCAACTGCTCTGAAGATTTCGGTAGGGCTCGCATCATCGTTGCTTTTTCTCGTTGAGGGCCCGGCCGAATGAGTAGTGGGCTCCTGCTCCATGAGCACACGACCTTAGCTTCAGACGGGCCTGGTCTCACCCGTGTGACATAACTTTAGCAACACAGATCTTCATTGGTCTGAGGCTGTCGCCGTCTTCCATGAACAAGTTAGTGGGATGAGCACCGAGAGACCTCCCCGCATCACAGCATGGGCTAACCCGTCATTGGTTCCCACGACAGGTTTCCGTAACAACAATTAACCAACCTTGACCTGAGTGGGAGGAAACATTACTACCAGCATCATGTACGGGATGTTCTTTGCAGCTAGCCACCCGTGACCTTTACCTGTTCCCGCAATCGATGCAAAGGATGCCAACCGCTCCTGCTCTTTACGATCAAAGCTTCAGAAACTGCCGGCACCCAAAGAGCCCAAAGGAGACAAGTGCACAGAACGACTGCCATTGCATTCTTCGTAGTTCTAGCCCAGAACTACATCACACCAAAATAAGGTATGATCGCATGCCTCGCGAGCAAGAGCACTGACGTGTGGAAAGTCTCGTGTTGTCTATCAACAGTGTAGCAGCCTGAGTGAATAATTCTACGGGCCGTGCATCCAAGGACTTTTGAAGTACTCCACATAGTTGGGGAGCTTCAATACCAAACCGAAGTAGTAGGATCACTATTCACTATTAGAAGCTCTGAAATAGGCATCCCCCCTAGTCTCAGCTTTAAGACAATTTGAGTCCCGAGCCGGTGCCAAACGAGGCAGCCGCCCTGGATTTGGCCAACGCAGGAGCCCTTGCCGCGGCTCAGACGGACTTTGGGAGGGGGGGGGGGGTGGGCGCCAAGAAGGGGAGCTTTGTGGGATTCTTAGATGCAGCAAGGTGATCTTGATGATTGGGATCCTATGTTTCAATTTTCAATGCGTGCATGAACATTCACTGATTTCGGAAACTCTCAGGGTTTCAGGACGCACTTCAGAAGAATGGTCTCGGGCCAACGACTGAGCAAACACAGTTGGCAAGCTTTGGAAGAGAGTCTGAGGATCGCCTGAGAAGAACCTGCAGGGACCAATCTGCCTAAAACAGAGCATCCTTCTGAAAGCTCATCCCGTTCCTCAGGGATTCAGTTGAAACAAGTGGTCTTAGTCCCAAATCAAAGCTAACACGACCAACAGCCCTAAGCCCTGCACCCTCAACAATGTTTGCTCCGGGTCGCCTTGCTGCCGGGAGCCGCTGAAGGCCAAACGCTGGGCTTAGCACAACTAAGGAACAAACCTGGCGAGGTCTGTCTGATACCAAAGATTTAGGGATTAGGGAGCTTTTAAAGCACAGTCTCTGCTCAGGATCATCCTGAGGCCCCCGCTTCTGCTGAGTGCCACTCCCCTTGCAGCCTTTTGAGGTTCTCCGGCCTTGCATTTGGAATCTGGCACGCCTACACAGCACCAGGTCACCTAAACCCCTCCAGGCTTCTTCAGGTATTTCAGGTTTAGGGGGCTAGGGGGATCCTTTCGTAGGGAAATTGCACGCTTCGGACAAGGGCATCCCGTGGCTTATACTTAGGGTTCGGGTTTAGGAGCCCGCAAGCCTGAGCCCCCTGGCCTTTAAACCAAGCACAGATTCAAGAGCTCATGAAGGCCTCATTGAGTCCTACTTCCACCTTTTGTTCAGTTGAGTCACAGCTCGGGCCGACCTTCCTGAAAACCAATACATCACATCCCACGGAAACCCGAACTTAGCTGCCAAGGCAAGGCCCTGAGTCAAGTCCTCAACCCTACGTCCATCGCACTCCGATGGCAGCCGGAACCCGAAAAAAGAAAAAAAAAAACTAGACCTCTGACACTTCGGGCTACAGGTTTCGGATGTGTGATGAGACTTGGGGGGAATGGAGGCTTGGGCTCCTTGCTTCAGGGTGGAAGTGCAGGCTTTATCAGCTCGAGAGTCTTACAGAGCTACTGAACTTCTTGATCGTTCTTCTAAACCCGGTGCCTTTTGTTGATCTTTATGGTTCAGGCAAGGCAGTAGGAGTAAGAGCCTGACGCTTGCAGGTTTCTGGCATTGGTGATGCTGGCTCCATGGTTTTGGGGACATGCGGCCTACGCACAGCAGGGCCCAGCATAATCATGAATGGTGCGGATAAGATGAACGCTATGCACAGGCCGGCCCTTTCCAACAAGACTTACTTCACTCACTCTTAGTATCATCATCGTACTCGTGCAGGAATATTTGGGATCAAATCTTCATCACAAACAGCCGGACTCAGGAGGAAGAGGTCGAAGCTTGACGCATTCAAGCTTTGACCTCTTTAGGATTCCGCTGACCAGAGTCATGTGAAACCTCTTAACAACGTGGCAGGAGTCTCCATGCCAAGAACCTTACAAACTGTGTTGCCATCTTGCTTCAACAGTCTTGAAAAGCGATGCGGAAACAAACCAACGGCCACTCCGAATTCTCGATCCAGTTTTGGGTGGCCTACCAGTTCTTCAAACCGATTCAGGTCTCATCGGGCAAGCCGTACCACAACAGCAAATTGACCACTCCGGCGATTACCAGGAAAGCAAAGTTGCCAGGTAGGTCGGTCCCGAAATGAAGAACGGAAAGTGTCTCAAGGAAGAAATCGAAGGCCCAGCCGACAGCAAACAGCAGTGCTCCTGCAGCTACCAGACCGATACAGAACAGCAACTTCCGGCACCGCCCGTGAAAGAGTTTGCGCATCCTGTAGGCTAGGCGGAGGCAAATCAATGCAGCAGCTGGCATAAGCATGAAAGAGTATGCGCTCGCTACAGCGGCTACCTTGAGTGTTTCTCGAGCATCATGAACACTCGGCACGTCGAGGTAAAACCACAGCAAAGGGCAACATGCCTGCACTATGCGCCAATACGAGAAGACCTGATTAGCCAGTTGATGGACCAAAAGCTTCAGCACCTTGCCTCTCACAATGGTTTCGAACTCCTCGACAGACTCGAACCAAGCCGCAATGCAACGGACAATAATGCTGCGGTCACACAGCATCACCGAACCTGTTTGAGGATGGACGTGACCACAGCTGCAACAAAAGGAAAGCGAGTTCTCAATGGTGAAATTGCGCACTTGATCCTGCACCATTTCGATGCTGCGACAATGCGCGAGAACCATGTATGCAAGCAGCATGAAGAATGGGAATGAAAGGGCCGAAATCAAGACCAGGCCCCACGGTATAAATTCCAGTTGAGAGATGCTCAATGTGATCGTCATCGCGGCGAGACCAAGCTGACCCAGCACAAGGGCGGGGCCCACGAACACGGGGCAAATCACGAGGTGCTTCTCTGCATCTGTACCCAGTCCTTTGCTGTGCAAGAAAGCGGCCAACTCGAACAGGCACCACAACCTGGGCACGAAGGTGTGTGTGTGTGTGCTTTACAGTGCAGTGACCTACGCCCCGGAGGGTGGCTTGTGTGTGTGTGTGTAAACGCCCGCACATGGCGACATGATTCCAGAAGCCAGATGTATATAACTGCAGGGGGACACAGCATGTCACTGGGACTGTGTCCAACGAAG